GGTTTTGGTCTAAGCATCTGAAGTATTTGTTCCAGAGGCATGAACTTAAAAGGCTGAACTTGGTTCTATAGCATTCTTGCTGGTCGAGCTGGTGTACGAACCTTGTGGGGCCCAGACTTATCAAGAACGCCGTGATGTTTTCCCAGACCAACGTTCCGGGCCACCCTGTGGGTCGTGTCCGAATACCGGTGCTGGTATTCCTCTTTTTGAACAGCGTCGAGGTGTCAACTACTTCTTCTTCACAATTTAAATGATAATCTCCCCAAAATTCCCCTTTTGGGAGCCACGTTTTACATCCTGAGGATCTATGTGGGGCTGAGTAGATTACTTCATTGTCCCAGTATCCCTGCAGTGGCAACAGTATCAGGGGTCGACAGGCCATGTTACAGTGCCATTCTGGCATACCTCGGTCTGGGTGGATCCAGTTACATCTGACGGTCCGACGTTCTTTCTGATGTAGGATTCTTATCCAGCAGATTACTCCATCGCTGAGAAACTCGTGGTTGTAAATTTCCCAGGTCCGATTCAGGAGGTTATCGATAGTGGAATCATTCAATTCATAGGCTCGGCTTTCCACATACTTTTTCCCATTGTTTTTGGCAAACCTCTGGGTCTGGTTCTGAATAGATGACCCGTTGTCCCATGGCACAAAGATAGAGATGGTGCTTGTATTCCAGCAATTGAAGGTAGCATATCTGGAGCGTCCATAGGTGACCCTTGAATGCGTAAGATGCCAGGGCCCAACTCCGACGAAGTATAGGATTGCAATAAGGATAGATGCAGCAAATAGTAAAGCTAGTAGCGTAAGCAAAGTCTTTATGTACAGTGGGGTATCCGTTCTCGTGGTCTTTTTCCGTAGCAGGGGTCCGTCAGGGGTTTCCGAGTTATCATCGTCGTCAAAGTCAGCGCTATCTTCCGAATCGGAGGCATCTTCTAGCAAATTTGCTCTTGTATACATGCGTCTTAACCGGGTTTCTTCCATCCTGGTCTTTATGAAGATAGGATCAGGATCTCCCTGGGGTCTGTGGTGTTGGGCTTGGTGCAGATCTTTTTCAAAGCTCTGCTGTGCTGCCGAGCAGTAGTCCTTGTAGCTGCTCGTCTGGTGGCTCTCCCTTGCATCAGGGAGTTATACACAGGAGATGGGTAGGGCAAGTTAGGTTCCAACCCCCTCCACACCCACTTCCAGAGGATCACCCTCCAGAAGTCAGGTTGAGGAAATGGGCCTTGTGCGGTACCACTCCGTAGCTTGTCATCCTTCCAGGCCATGTGTCCGTACCCTATTGCTGCTGTTACTGAAACGTAGGCACACAATGATTGCCCATGCAACGTCAATCTTGTGCGATATCCCCAAGACGTCGGAGTGAAGATCCTCTGGTGTGGCGGATTTGGATAAACACTGTCCACTTCCAATTTCAGTGGGGGCCTGGTGTTATTGAAAACATAGTAGTCTGGGTTGGCTTCCCTCTTTGTTACTATTTTCGCCATACCTGGTGATGTGGTCCAAATGATCATGCCATTTATTGAGAGTTCACAGTATTGTCCCTGTAGCGGTTCCAAATAATGGGGACCCCACCGAACCCGCACTTCCTTCCCCTCAATCATCAGATAGACTGTATTAAAAATCCATGGAAGGTGCTGTGAACAATCCGGTGAAATCCCGTCATAGCTACTCGCGTCGGCTGATATTTTCCCTTGCCAAATCGGGATTACCGAGGGGACAAAATAATATGGTTTCTGCCATGGACGTGGCGATGCCTCCTCACTCTCTCCGACTTCTTTTACCTCATGGAGATCGGGGGGTCGAAGATAGGTGAGATGCTTAAGATAGTAAGCTTCTGTGAGCGGATAGGAGACAGTGAAATCTTCACGCGGCATGTCTAGTAGGATGGAACCGTTTGGGAGTTTCAGGAAGGGTCCTTTCTTAGAGAACCCAGACCAGACTTCTGGGCCTACTTTAAATAATTTGCTTACAAAGTATTTCTTCCCGCTTCGTTTTTTATCTTTCTTCTGACTTTTGGACTTGGTACCTCGGTCCCCTTCTTCCAGGGTATCCTTTAATTCTGACTTTTCTTCCTCCATGCTGATGTGAGTGACTGCCAGGCGCTGGTCTTGAACTTCTTCTTGGGAGGTNTGAAACACAATTAACTTAAAACATAATCGATTTGTTTTACCATTATCTGAAATCATTGAAAATATATAACAATTAAGTTGTTACTGTTACTACAGATCATGAATACAGAGTATATATTTCAACTATACGTTACAGACATTGTGATTACAATAACACCAATCATTTCACCATTACACACATATGTACTTTATAATCATTTCAATCGTTACACACATATGCAATATTCCATTTCATTAATTGTCATTAAATCATCATACAAAGTCACTGTTGTCTCCCAGGCCCGTACTCCGTTTTCTGCGTGTACCTAGAGAGATCTCACACTCCCAGGCCAGTTTTCTCGACACCCCCTCCGTGAGATCGAACGGTGCGTCGCAGGAAACGCAAAGTTCAATTATATAATTCTAATACTTCATCACAATGGATAGTCAGAATGTCCCTTTCATAGCAAGTGACAGGAGAAGATGACGGCGTCCATGCATCCACGATCTCGTAGTCCGTCAGATTCGATGGTGGGGAAATCCAAGCGTCTGCATCCAGCACATCTTCTATCGTGGAGCTGCATGGTTCAGGGAGGTCGCAGTGCTGCAACTGTGGCGGTGGAGGTGATGCGGATCCATCCATCTCCACATCCAGCTGGATGGGCGCTGGAAAACTACAGCACGCCTCCAACTCCTCAAGCAGATCCTGGAAATCCTGAGCAAACGAAGGGGACTGCATCTGACAAATGCAGGTGATGTCGGAGCTTGTTTGACTGCTCCGATCCACGCGTGAAGGGAGAGGTGTATCCTCAGTCTGGCATGCTTGGTGAGATGAACTGAGAAACTCAGCTTGGGTACCCTGATCGTGAGTGGCAATGCTGGTCTGACATCCGACGTCCACGTACATATCTGGAGATGCCGGGCAAACTGGTGGGATGGGATCACCCACCGCTACCACTCTGCCGTCCATAAGGAGCAGCGTGAGAAGGCATTGACGGGTGATCTGATTCTCCCAAAGTTTCTGAACAATGGGTAGCACCCGGCCACTCTCCAAAGGCGAAGTCTGAAGTGCGTCGTCAGCCTGGCCCAATGCAGAGGTCCACACGACTTTGTGGTCCCGCTCCAGGGATCTAGACGTAGAAGCCGCAATGTAAGGCAGGTCCTCACGTCCATGAAGGCAGAGGATGGCCGTTACATTTTCAAGGTGTACGCAGTCGTGACACCAGCGGGTAGACGATGCAACCCATATGAACCCAGAGGATTCTGCGGTTGTTCCACATCCCACGCAGCAGATCGGTGCCTGGAGAGAAACAGCAACCTAGGTAACTTCATGATTAGTAGTTATCGATTCTTTTTACTAATAATGGGGAAAAGGGGTGAAAAGCGAAAGCAAGAGCATAAAAAGGGAGCTGATTTAAACTCGTGTGCTTCTTTGAGCTGCGAGCCATGGAGAATTTATCACCGGGGAAACATTTTCGGATACTTGCGAATCCCGATTCTGCACATAAGATGAATCATGAAATATCGCCGCATGGGTCATTAGCCACACTATGATGGGCAGTGTGGACATCTTCTTCATCCAATAGAGGGTCACTAAGACTCCCCACCCGGCCACCCAGAGGGCCAAGATCGCCCATCTCCGGAGCCAACGACGTTTGCCTTGACCTCTGATGGAGAAGGCCTGGTAAGCCAGGTAGATGAGAATAGATGACGCCAGAAGACCCTCGACGATGGCGGTGAGAATTTTCAGTGGTGCAGCACGGTTAGCGTGGGTTCCTCCACAGACCAGCTCCATTATCAAGGCCGTCGTGTCGATGGTAAGCCAAAGACAGGCAACCGCTCCTCTGCGCCAGTTGATGCGGGTCCGTCCCATCAGATAGCAGGCAAAAAGGGAGGGGGCATGGTCCCATCTTCGCAGAAGAAGGGGTCGTAGAAGGAGCTTTGCATACCCCTGGAGCGCGACATTCACGCTTAAGGTCTGCCCAGTAGTCCTTGACCCGTTGAGGCGGTAGACTACCCAGGCTAGGATGAACCCGACCTGTTCAAGGGTACTCACTTGAATTGGCTCAAAGGTCGGATTGGTAGAAGAGGAGTTGGTCGTAGAGTTGGATGACATGATGTTCCCTTGGTTGATTCTTGGTTTGGATCCTTTCTTGACAGCAGCTCTGACGAACGATAACTGGGTCGTCGGCACACAGCAGCTCTCCTTTATGCAGAGTCAGGCTCCTCCTTCGGGGGGAGGGGCTTGTGATCCCTCCCCTTGCAACGACAAAGCGCCTTTAGCCACACCTCCAAAACAATTTTTCCTAGAACGATGGCAATGACTACGCCCAGGATGCCCAACAAATATGGCCACAGCATGCTCAGAGCATTAAGCAACCAATGCTCGATAATAGTGAGGCCTCCACCGACCACATTAGTGACCTCTTCCACTACGTCTGAGATGGAGGTTACCAGGGTAGATCCCAATGTCTCATACCAGCGACAGTCATGTTGATGTTTCCCTTCCCCACATTTCTGCCACACTTCTTTAGAGACATTGCAGGTGAGGTTGGAATAGAGAAGGTTAGGTCCCACCCAGTCAAATCCAGGGTCCACTTCTCCATCACACAGACTCTTCCGGAACGCATGGCCCTCTGCGAGGGCTATGAGGGTATCGGGGATGAAAGGAACAGGGAGGTCTAGGATACTTTTGCGTCGTTGGAGGTGATACCCCAAAATTGCATCAGTGCAGGTTTTACCGCTCACAAGCGCCCTCCGCCATTGTCCTTGAATCTTCCTCCAAACCACTTCGGAAGCATGTGTATTGTACTCATCCGCATAGTGTTCTGTGCAGTGGTCTTCCCAACCTCGGAGAGTCTGACAGGGCTTCCGGGCTAGCCCAATGATGCACTCGGTGTTGTTACGAGTGCACACCATGCGCCAAGGTCTCGGGATGACATAGTTGTCAGGCCTCCAAAAAATCCCTGGCCAGATCATACGGTCTTTAGAGTAAACAGTGGCTATGTACTGGTACTTAATCCAGTAGTTGCTGGACTCGTTGAGGCATGGTATAACCCAGGCTTGTAGCTCTTCCTGTTGGAGCCCCCACCATTCCCAGTCCCAAGCTCGATAGTAGTCCTCATACCAAGCTCGGAGGACCATCTTCGCCGTAGGGAAGGTTTCGGGATCGGGACAGTGATATTTCCAGGTGGAGTAAAAGGTGTTGCTGGTTTGCCAGAGGTCACATCTCGGAGAGGACATAGTCTTCACCCAATCGGTGTCGTTAAGACTATCAAAAATCCGTCTGGCCACACACTTGTCAATTTTTGCAAAGTGGTCTTTGGGAGCCGGTAGCAGAACATCCGGTGTTGGCAGTGGCTGCGTCCGCATATCGGCAACGTATGGTCCCTTCAACCCAGCAGGAGAGCGAACAGCCCCCTCCGGGAAATCTCCCCTAAAGTACATTTGGTCTTTGGCTATGCCTGTCCAGGGGAATGAGTCATTCAGCCAGGTCTCAATTTCAGTACGCACTGCACTCGCACGAACCCATGAAAGTGACCAGTACTCCTTCAGAGCCAAAGCTATATGGTTTTGGTCTAAGCATCTGAAGTATTTGTTCCAGAGGCATGAACTTAAAAGGCTGAACTTGGTTCTATAGCATTCTTGCTGGTCGAGCTGGTGTACGAACCTTGTGGGGCCCAGATTTATCAAGAACGCCGTGATGTTTTCCCAGACCAACGGCCCGGGCCGCTCTGTGGGCCGTGTCCGAACGCCGGTGCTGGTATTCCTCTTTTTGAACAGCGTCGAGGTGTCAACTACTTCTTCTTCACAATTTAAATGATAATCTCCCCAAAACTCTCCTTTTGGGAGCCATGTCTTACAGCCTGAGGATCTATGTGGGGCTGAGTAGATTACCTCATCGTCCCAGTATCCCTGAAGTGGCAACAGCATCAGGGGTCGACAGGCCATGTTACAGTGCCATTCGGGCATGCCTCGGTCCGGGTGGATCCAGTTACATCTGACGGTCCGACGTTCTTTTTGATGCAAAATTCTTATCCAGCAGATTACTCCATCACCGAGAAACTCGTGGTTGTAAATTTCCCAGGTACGGTTCAGAAGGTCATCGATGGTGGAATCATTCAATTCATAGGCTCGGCTTTCCACATACTTTTTCCCGTTGTCTTTGGTAAACTTCTTGGTTTGGTTCTGAATTGACGACTCGTCCCATGGCACAAAGACAGAGATGGTACTTGTGTTCCAGCAATTGAAGGTAGCATATCTAGATCGTCCATAGGTGACTCTTGAATGCGTAAGATGCCAGGGCCCAACTCCGACGAAGTATAGGATTGCGATAAGGATAGATGCAGCAAATAGTAAAGCTAGTAGCGTAAGCAAGGATTTTTTGTACAGTGGGATTTCCGTTCTCGTGGTCTTTTTCCGTAGCAGGGGTCTGTCAGGGGTTTCCGAGTTATCATTGTCGTCAAAGTCAGCGCTATCTTCCGAATCGGAGGCATCTTCTAGCAAATTTGCTCTTGTATACATGCGTCTTAACCGGGTTTCTTCCATCCTGGTCTTTATGAAGATAGGATCAGTATCTCCCTGGGGTCCGTGGTATTGGGCTTGGTGCAGATCTTTTTCAAAGCTCTGATGTTCTGCCGAGCAGTAGTCCTTGTAGCTGCTCGTCTGGTGGCTCTCCCTTGCATCAGGGAGTTATACACAGGAGATGGGTAGGGCAAGTTAGGTTCCAACCCCCTCCACACCCATTTCCAGAGGAACACCCTCCAGAAGTCAGGTCGAGGAAATGGGCCTTGGGCGGTGCCACCCCGTAGCTTGTCATCTTTCCAGGCTTCGTGTCCGTATCCTACTGCTGTTGTCACTGAAACGTAGGTACATAATGATTGCCCATGCAACGTCAATCTCGTACGATACCCCCAAGACGCCGGAGTGAAGATCCTCTGGTGAGGCGGATTGGGATAAACTCTGTCCAATTCCAATCTCAGCGGGAGTCTGGTGTTATTGAAAACATAGTAGTCTGGGTTGGCTTCCATCTTCATTACTATTTTTGCCATACCTGGTGATGTGGTCCAAATGATCATGCCATTTATTGAGAGTTCACAATATTGTCCCTGTAGCGGTTCCAAATAATGGGGACCCCACCGAACCCGCACTTCCTTCCCCTCAATCATCAGATAGACTGTATTAAAAATCCATGGAAGGGGCTGCGAACAGTCCGGTGAAATTCCATCATAGCTACTCGCGTCGGCTGACATTTTCCCTTGCCAAATCAGGATTATCGAGGGGACAAAATAATATGGTTTCTGCCATGGACGTGGCGATGCCTCCTCACTCTTTCCGACTTCTTTTACCTCTTGGAGATCAGGGGGTCGGAGGTAGGTGAGATGCTTAAGATAGTAAGCTTCTGTGAGCGGATAGGAGACAGTGAAATCTTCACGCGGCATGTCTAGTAGGATGGAACCGTTTGGGAGTTTCAGAAAAGGTCCTTTCTCAGAGAACCCAGACCAGACTTCTGGTCCCACTTTAAATAATTTGCTCACAAAGTATTTTTTCCCACTTCGTTTTTTATTTTTCTTCTGACTTTTAGACTTGGTAGCTCGGTTCCCTTCCTCTAGGGCATCCTTCAATTCTGATTTTTCTTCCTCCATGCTGATGTGAGTGTCTGCCAGGCGCTGGTCTTGAACTTTTTCTTCGGCGGTTCCAGATCTACGGTCGCATAAACCTTTTCTTCATGCACCACCTCAACTGTTGCTCCTACTGAATATACTCCTTTATAAGGGATAGTGAGCATCCGCACTGACAGTTGAACTTTACGGGTGGTGCTAGGATCAGTGGGCGTTCTCACTCTGTGGGCCACGCCCCCTGGAACTTGGAATATTCCGTCACGAAAATTGAGCTCTGCTGTCACAGTGTACAGGGCCGACTTTTCTTTGGGTCTTGCTGCGTTGCTGCCCCACCCATCTATCTCTGTGGTGTAATAGTAGATCTGTCACCGCGATGGTGCAGTCGTTAATAACTTCCAAAATCAAGTGAGCCCAGGTGGTTAGTTCCCAGGGGCCCGTCCAGCCCCCATTAACGGCTTGCACCTTGGTTTCATCTGGGAGCAAACTTAACTCCTCAGCCATGGGGCGGTTCGTTTGAGGCCGGTACACCCGGAAGACCAGGGGGGAGTGCGTGGTACTTACTGGTGGGAACTGCAGCTGGGTTTGCGCGGGATCATAAGGCCAGGCGGAATTGACAGAATCCCACAGATAATCGTGTGGTCCCTCTTCCTTCCGCCAGATCCACTGTTCTCTCCCCGAGGATTCCTCTGGGGAGTTGGGGGGAGCGGAAGGCCCTGAGAACCATTGAACCGATGGTATGGGGCTTCCATAAGTACACTGAACCACTCCGTACGTTTGGAAGTACCGCAGCGAGCTGTAAAACCTCCTCACTTGCCAGCCGTCAGCTTCCCCTGACAGAGTCACCTCTCCTCCTTTGATCTGCTCACTGCAGACTGTACAGCTGCTCAATTCCTCTCCGTCCCATAGACAGGTACATCTTCTTGGTTCTTCCTCCCGCCATCCCCACTGACTCACTAATACTAGCCGAGGCAGATAGCCCATTCGACAGTTCCCACATATCTGGACATTCATGATAGAGACAGGGGAGACGGGAAGGTGTTGCAGTCTACTGGCTATTGCTTCCTGTCGCCTGGGTTTGTCGCGACCTGGTCCCTCCCAAGTGATAGAGAGTTGACTAATTGATAAACACACAGGGCAGCGATTCTTCGCTTTACTCCACATCAGCATTTCGGGATCCTCCGACAGGACTCCATTTTTGGCCCAATCCAATTTCTTCAGGGCTCGTCCTGCCCAAATCCCTGAAGTCGTTCTTCTGATCACAACCACCCCTTTCACGGTGGCCAGTCCGAGATAGGGTGGAACAACACATGATTCACTGGCCATTTCACCGGCTTCTGTTTCTCTTTAGTCAGGAACTGGTTTGAGCTGCTCAACTCCTTGGATCCCTTTCTTCTCCAGCAGTACTGTATTCCTGTCCAGTACCTGCTTAACAATATCTTTTGTCTCAAACTTAGGTTTTACTGCTGCACTCACAGGTTGCTCTCTTGCTTTAACCCACACTCGTTGTCCCACTCTGAATGGCACTTTGGGCGTTGGTTCTTCCTTTTTATCGCTGGAGCCCCGCCCCACTTCCTTCGTGGTGAACGGTCGTTGGTTGAGCTCCATCGAGGGGGCGGGCCTTTCTGCTCTGTTTCTGTCGTTTAGGGCCTGCCCTATTTCGACCACCATGGTGCTCCAGCCTTTGTCGTTAGCATTCTTAGCTATCCAGCTCTTCACTAACCCAATGGTGCGCTCCACTACTCCATTAGCCTGGGGTGTATAGGGTGGCGAATACACCCTCATCACCCCATATTTTTGACACCATTGGTCAACCTGTGCATTACGGAAATGTGTCCCATTATCCGTCCGCAGCTCTTTCGGGATTCCCAGGGCACTGCACACTTGTTCCAGCATGCCAACAACACTGCTGCCATTCGCTTTCCTGGCTGCTTTTACGATCACAAATCCCGACATTGAGTCCACTAACACTAAAAGGTACTTCTCACCCCTTTTTCCTGTTGTTCCCATGGGGCCTGCAACATCCATGCAGACTGAACCCCAGGGGATCATGCTCTTGATGGTTAAGCCCTCCAATCGTTGCCCTCGGCGACCTGCGTTGTATTTCCCACACACTTCACAGTCCCTCAGCACACGTTGGACTTGTTTCACTGGGATCCAAAGTTCATGCTCCTCCAGCTCCTTACGGGTAGGTCGTACGCCTGCATGACCAAGGGCTTCATGCACACTCCGCACGACCTCATCCACGTACTCTTCTGGGACCTCCCTTCCTCTGGGAGTGCTGTCCCACTTCTCGATTCCGACAAAGACAATCTTCCTTTGTTGGACATAACAGTCCACCTCATCATTTCCACGCCAATGAGCTCCCTCATGCGTGTGCGCTCGTTGGTGCTCTACTTCGAGCTCCAGTTGCATTTTCAACTCCGCAATCTTCTTCCATAAATCTCTATGCGCCACCGGTTTGCCTTTAGCTGTCTCGAAGCCATTCTCCTCCCAAATGGCTAAGTCTTCTTTAAGGGCTTGGGCGCAGTAGTAACTATCCGTTACTAACCTGGCGCTCTTGATCTTCCTTTTCCCTAGCTCCAGTAGTCCTTCCAGTATTGCTGTTACTTCCCCAGCTTGTGCACTGCCAGGGGCCTTTCCTTTCTGTCGACACCTCTCTTTGCCGTCTTGTTTCAAGATGAAACCCCAATAGGCCACTTGGTCGGACTCTTTCTTTGATCCATCGGTGTAGAGTGTCCATTCTGGTTGTCCTGGTTTTTCAGGTGTTTCTTGTTGTCGCTTCTTGTTGGTGGGTTGTGCTGGCCCGATTTCAAGCTCTGGGTCCAGCAGGATGTCTTCCCATCTCCCCCACCGTGCATTTGTTGCTTTGGTACTTTCAACGGTACCTTTCCTCAGGTACTTGTGGACCTGGCTCTGCGTAATGACTTTAACTGGTTGTCCTTGCGCTAGATCCTTCAGTACACTCCAATATCGAGCTAGTACTGCCAGCTCCTTTTCTTCTTGTGGGTATTTTTTCTCAACAGAGGTCAGAGTATAACTCCATAGTGTAACCAGGCCTCCGTTCTCATTACTCACTTTTATCATGGCATCGTCTTCCTCGCAGTTGATCTCTGCCACCAATCTATCAGACAAACTTCTCGGTTCCAGTCTCACCGCGGCCTGAATTGCCTTCTTTAGGTCCTCTAGATCTCGTTGGTTAGCCGCTGTCCAAACCCAGGGTCTTTTTCCCCCTCCTTCGTTTTCCACACTCTTTTTCAGGCAGTTGTACAAAGGTTTGGCATACTTCTGGTAGTTGGGTACGTGGTCTCTGACATAGTTGCATAGTCCCAATATTTTCTGCAGTTCATTCTCTGACTGAGGGGGTTGAATGTTCATCATTTTTTCCCTATATCCGTCTGAGAGTCCCAAGTCTGATGTGACCTGAAAACCCAGGTAATTCACCTGGAACTGTCCAAATTGGCATTTCTTGAGGTTCAGTTTTAAGCCTGCTTTTGTTAGATTCTCAATCACCTTTCGTAGCCTTTCTAAGTGCTCTTCTTCGGTGTCATCAGCGATAAAAACATCGTCTATGTACACAGTTGCCCCCACGTCCCCCAGTACTTCCATCACGGCTGACTGAAAAACGTTTGGCGAGTTCTTATATCCTTGGGGCAACCTTTGCCAAACATAGCTTTTGCCTTTATGAGTAAATGCTGTCTTACCCTGGGATTGCCTTGCGAGGCGGAGAGAGAAAAATCCATTAGCCAGGTCAATGCAGGACTTGAACTTCTTGACTCGCAGTGTCTTTAATGTGCCTTGGGGGTTGATCAGGCTGGCCCGATTCGCTATTGTCCGTCGGTTCAGGGCCTTGAAGTTGATGACTGGCCTCCAACCCCCTCCTGCCGATTCGGGTTTCTTCACCGCCTGGATGGGACTGTTCGTGATCGGGTTGAGCTCCTCTCTGATGATTCCTAGGGAACCCAGTTCCTTCACTATCTTGTCCATCTCCTCAACCGCTCCCGGATTCAGCGGGTACTGTCGAACCGGCGGGTGCACCCCACCTTCAATATGGTGCACGAATCTTGGGCCCAAATCTCCGCAATCGTTCTTGAATCTGGCTACTTTTGCCGAGGCAATTATCTCACGCAGCTTCTTCTTCCCGGCCGGGGAGAAGTCACTCTCTTCGATCTTTTGTTTTGTCACTGCCGGTACATCCACTGGTTTGTACCATTCTTGCTTGTCTGATCCTGTCTGTGTCGGGCCAACTTTTACCAATCTTGCTTTCAGGTTTGTCAACCGTCTTTGGAGGTCCCGATAGTTGCGCTTCTTCTTACTTAACTCTTCTAGGTCTTTAACTGTGAGAAGATTGTATGGTCCTTTAATCCACACTACTCCTTTCCATGTCCCATATGGCATTTTCTCCACTTTTCCATTGGCAAATTGTACTTTCAGGTGTCCTGCTGTTTCTAGGTCTTTGCGGGTCATTGACACCTCGGCTCCNAACTCCTCAGCCATGGGGCGGTTTGTTTGAGGCCGGTACACCCGGAAGACCAGAGGGGAGTGCGTGGTACTTACTGGTGGGAACTGCAGTTGTGTTCGCGCAGGGTCATAGGGCCAGGCCGAATGGACGGAGTCCCACAGATAATCATGTGGCCCTTCTTCCTTCCGCCAGATCCACTGTTCTCTCCCGGAGGAGTCCTCTGGGGAGTTGGGGGGAGCAGAGGGCCCTGTAAACCATTGGACTGATGGTATGGGGCTTCCATAAGTACACTGAACCCCTCCGTACGTTTGGAAGTACCGCAGCGAGCTGTAAAACCTCCTCACTTGCCAGCCGTCAGCTTCCCCTGACAGAGTCACCTCTCCTCCTTTGATCTGCTCACTGCAGACTGTACAGCTGCTCAATTCCGCCCCGTCCCATAGACAGGTACATCTTCTTGGTTCTTCCTCCCGCCATCCCCACTGACTCACTAATACTAGCCGAGGCAGATAGCCCATTCGACAGTTCCCACATATCTGGACATTCATGACAGAGACCGGGGAGACGGGAAGGTGTTGCAGTCTGTTGGCTATCGCTTCTTGTCGCCTGGGCTTGTCGCGACCTGGTCCCTCCCAAGTGATAGGGAGTTGGCTAATTGATAAACACACAGGGCAGCGGTTCTTCGCTTTACTCCACATCAGCATTTCAGGATCCTCCGACAGGACTCCATTTTTGGCCCAATCCAATTTCTTCAGGGCTCGTCCTGCCCAAATCCCTGAAGTCGTTCTTCTGATCACAACCACCCCTTTCACGGTGGCCAGTCCGAGATAGGGTGGAACAACACATGATTCACTGGCCATTTCACCGGCTTCTGTTTCTCTTTAGTCAGGAACTGGTTTGAGCTGCTCAACTCCTTGGATCCCTTTTTTCTCCAGCAGTACTGTATTCCTGTCCAGTACCTGCTTAACAATATCTTTTGTCTCAAACTTAGGTTTTACTGCTGCACTCACAGGTTGCTCTCTTGCTTTAACCCACACTCGTTGTCCCACTCTGAATGGCACTTTGGGCGTTGGTTCTTCCTTTTTATCGCTGAACCCCCGCCCCACTTCCTTCGTGGTGAACGGTCGTTGGTTGAGTTCCATCGAGGGGGCGGGCCTTTCTGCTCTGTTTCTGTCGTTTAGGGCCTGCCCTATTTCGACCGCCATGGTGCTCCAGCCTTTGTCGTTAGCATTCTTAGCTATCCAGCTCTTCACTAACCCAATGGTGCGCTCCACTACTCCATTAGCCTGGGGCGTATAGGGTGGCGAATACTCCCTCATCACCCCATATTTTTGACACCATTGGTCAACCTGTGCATTTCGGAAATGTGACCCATTATCCGTCCGCAGCTCTTTCGGGATTCCCAGGGCACTGCACACTTGTTCCAGCATGCTGACAACACTGCTGCCATTCGCTTTCCTGGCTGCTTTTACGATCACAAATCCCGACATTGAGTCCACTAACACTAAAAGGTACTTCTCACCCCTTTTTCCTGTTGTTCCCATGGGGCCTGCAACATCCATGCAGACTGAACCCCAGGGGATCATGCTCTTGATGGTCAAGCCCTCCAACCGTTGCCCTCGGCGACCTGCGTTGTATTTCCCACACACTTCACAGTCCCTCAGCACACGTTGGACTTGTTTCACTGGGATCCAAAGTTCATGCTCCTCCAGCCCCTTACGGGTAGGTCGTACGCCTGCATGACCAAGGGCTTCATGCACACTCCGTACGACCTCATCCACGTACTCTTCTGGGACCTCCCTTCCTCTGGGAGTGCTGTCCCACTTCTCGATTCCGACAAAGACAATCTTCCTTTGTTGGACATAACAGTCCACCTCATCATTACCACGCCAATGAGCTCCCTCGTGCGCGAGCGCTCGTTGGTGCTCTACTTCGAGCTCCAGTTGCATTTTCAACTCCGCAATCTTCTTCCATAAATCTCTATGCGCCACCGGCTTACCTTTAGCTGTCTCGAAGCCATTCTCTTCCCAAATGGCTAAGTCTTCTTTAAGGGCTTGGGCGCAGTAGTAACTGTCCGTTACTAACCTGGCGCTCTTGATCTTCCTTTTCCCTAGCTCCAGTAGTCCTTCCAGTATTGCTGTTACTTCCCCAGCTTGTGCACTGCCAGGGGCCTTTCCTTTCTGTCGACATCTCTCTTTGCCGTCTTGTTTCAAGATGAAACCCCAGTAGGCTACTTGGTCGGACTCTTTCTTTGATCCATCGGTGTAGAGTGTCCATTCTGGTTGTCCTGGTTTTTCAGGTGTTTCCTGTTGTCGTTTCTTGTTGGTGGGTTGTGCTGGCCCGATTTCAAGCTCTGGGTCCAGCAGGATGTCTTCCCATCTCCCCCACCGTGCATTCGTTGCTTTGGTACTTTCAACGGTACCTTTCCTCAGGTACTTGTGGACCTGACTCTGCGTGATGACTTTAACCGGTTGTCCTTGCGCTAGATCCTTCAATACGCTCCAATATCGAGCTAGCACTGCCAGCTCCTTTTCTTCTTGTGGGTATTTTTTCTCAACAGAGCTCACCGTATAACTCCATAGTTTAACCAGGCCTCCGTTCTCATTACTCACTTTTATCATGGCATCGTCTTCCTCGCAGTCGATCTCTGCCACCAATCTATCAGACAAACTTCTCGGTTCCAGTCTCACCGCGGCTTGAATTGCACTCTTTAGGTCCTCCAAATCTCGTTGGTTAGCCGCTGTCCAAACCCAGGGTCTTTTTCCTCCTTCGTTTTCCACACTCTTTTTCAGGCAGTTGTACAAAGGTTTGGCATATTTCTGGTAGTTGGGTACGTGGTCTCTGACGTAGTTGCATAGTCCCAATATTTTCTGCAGTTCATTTTCTGACTGAGGGGGCTGAATGTTCATCATTTTGTCCCTATATCCATCTGAGAGTCCCAAGTCTGATGTGACCTGAAAACCCAGGTAATTCACCTGGAACTGTCCAAATTGGCATTTCTTGAGGTTCAGTTTTAGGCCTGCTTTTGTTAGATTCTCAATCACTTTCTGCAGCCTTTCTAGATGTTCTTCTTCGGTGTCATCAGCGATAAAAACATCGTCTATGTACACAGTTGCCCCCACGTCCCCCAGTACCTCCATCACGGCTGACTGAAAAACGTTTGGCGAGTTCTTATATCCTTGGGGCAACCTTTGCCAAACATAGCTTTTGCCTTTATGAGTAAATGCTGTCTTACCCTGGGATTGCCTTGCGAGGCGGAGAGAGAAAAATCCATTAGCCAGGTCAATGCAGGACTTGAACTTCTTGACTCGCAGTGTCTTTAATGTGCCTTGGGGGTTGATCAGGCTGGCCCGATTCGCTATTGTCCGTCGGTTCAGGGCCTTGAAGTTGATGACTGGCCTCCAACCCCCTCCTGCCGATTCGGGTTTCTTCACCGCCTGGATGGGACTGTTCGTGATCGGGTTGAGCTCCTCTCTGATGATTCCTAGGGAACCCAGTTCCTTCACTATCTTGTCCATCTCCTCAACCGCTCCCGGATTCAGCGGGTACTGTCGAACCGGCGGGTGCACCCCACCTTCAATATGGTGCACGAATCTTGGGCCCAAATCTCCGCAATCGTTCTTGAATCTGGCTACTTTTGCCGAGGCAATGATCTCACCCAGCTTCTTCTTCCCGGCCGGGGAGAAGTCACTCTCTTCGATCTTTTGTTTTGTCACTGCCGGCACATCCACTGGTTTGTACCATTCTTGCTTGTCTGATCCTGTCTGTGTCGGGCCAACTTTTACCAATCTTGCTTTCAGGTTTGTCAACCGTCTTTGGAGGTCCCGATAGTTGCGCTTCTTCTTACTTAACTCTTCTAGGTCTTTAACTGTGAGAAGATTGTATGGTCCTTTAATCCACACTACTCCTTTCCATGTCCCATACAGCATCTTCTCCACTTTCCCATTAGCAAATTGTACTTTCAGGTGTCCTGCTGTTTCTAGGTCCTTGCGGGTCATCGACACCTCGGCTCCCGTGTCCACTAGGTAGGGCACTCCTTCCACTTTGGCGTAGATCTCGTCCCCATCCCAGTAGGCATTTTCCAATATGACCCGCGACCTGGACTCCATTACTTTGGTGGCCCTCCGGTCCCGGTCCTACGGGACTCATGGAGGGCCGTTCTCTGTTCAGGGCTCAATTTTCTGTATTCCTCTTCCGTCAGGTAGGGGCCTCCTCTTGGCTGGCTCGATGATGTCGGTTGGTTAGTCGGTTTCCCTTGCGGCCCTTGGGCTCTTGGTTGAAACGTCCTGTTCTGGAAGTTGGGCGGCGGTCTGTGTTGGTAACTAGTCGATGGTCGGCTCTGGAAGTTGGGTGGCGGTCTGCTTTGGGGGTTGGATGGGGATCTTGGGCTGGCCTTGTTAGGTGACCTCACTTGTTGGCTCGATTCCTTCCTCCGCTTCTCCTCATAGTACTGCTTTTCCAAGTAGAAACTTTTCACAGCCAAATCCATCTGAGTGACGGTGGTACCTTTTACTGGCATTTTAACAAAAGGCATTTCTCCTCTTCGGCCCCTCGTCACCTCGCGCAGCACTTTCACATATCTTGCGGGGGGGCTGGTCTGCTTCAAGGTGTGCCACAGCGGGTCCAACCGGCCTCCCTTGTCGAGGCGTCCCCTGGCCCTCCTGATTTGGGAGTCTTCATCATCCATATCTTCCAACACTAACCGCTCATAGTTGTCTTGTGCTGATTCTGATCCGATCATCGGCTCTGCCGTCACCCTAGTTAGCCACAGCTTTTTGGCTCCATCGTGGCTCGTGGTAGACAGCACTGTTGGCCAGACGTCTTTCAAATACTCTTCATTGCTTTCATCTACGTTTTTGTTCCTGACCACTAACCTGAGGTTCTTAAGCTCGGCGTAAGCATCCTGGCCGGCACTGGGGGCAGTTGGTGGAGCCGGCCCGCTCCGAGAGGCCACAGGGCTTCGCTGGTCTGCCTTTGATGGTACTTGAGGTGGCTCTTCCTCATCAGCCGACACCTC